TGTGGGTGTTGATTACTGCTGGTCACTGATTCTTTGGTTGATCGATGTTTTTCTATGTTGCATACACTTCCACGACAATCACTTTTTGCACCAATGAAGTCAAAAATCCACCGAGCAAGGTGCACAGAACAAATTGAAGAGAACACAGCTTCAACACTAGCTTACACTCCAGACGAATGTGCAGCAATCGATCCAGTTCACTGCTGCACTTATTTATGTCTCGATCATATATGACACGAAAACGTTTTACTTAGAAGTAGTGTTCACACCACGCCCTATTGCCACAATAAAATGTGCGACACATGACTAATGTTCATTTCAAGATCGTGTTGGGATAACTTCATCATGTATTGAATACCCAGTTTCCGATAAGAAGGTTGTATATGTGCATGTGACGAAAATCCAATTAAAACATCATTTTGCTCTCAGTTCATAGTGACTGGAATCAAATCTCGCAAGCATTGCAATTTCCTCACCTATTTGTGCTTTCTCCTACCACATGTCATTCTCATGTCATTTTCGTACGCAAAGGAAGCAAGAAAGTCTTGTAAACCGCAGATGTGCAAATACTGGCAATGTCGACTTCCAAAAGATAAAGATAATGCTTCCAGATTACTACCCATTTGGGACACGAGAACGTATATAATGAATTGGTCATCGTTTTCCACACAGAGAGTCTAGTGAGATTCGCTATTTTTTTTTGGGAATTACTCTCGCGCCGTCGCATTTATTGCCAGTAAAATATCCTGAGACCCTTTCAAAAACGCCAACCAGGATGCCTCCCGTGAGTTACTCATCTCCAAGATCAATTGAGCCAATCGAGGCAATACCGCGTCGTGGCCACCTCTTTCACTGAGCTTTCTCATTATATGCTTAACATTAGACAAAGTCTTTTTCCGATATGATGCAAAAAGTCGTACTTGTAGGTTGTTCCCCGGTCGTGGAGGCAATCTCAATTCGTCCTCTAAAACAGTTTGTATTTTGAAAGTAGCATGCGCATCATTTTTTATGGTCTTCGAGCGTTTTCCTGGGAAATTTATAACTATGTCATTGCCACCATTTGCTAACTTGTTGTTTATCGTCCAAGTGAAATGCGTTATCAAGTGCACATCCGAACCCAACTTTTCAACAGTCTTCGAAATTTCCAATTGTTTTGTCTTGTTCACCGCATTACCAAACCCAATCTCAAACTCTAGATCGTCCAAAAAATAGTCGACTTCTGAGCTTTTGAATAACTCAATCTCCCCATTGAGGAAATGATACAAGACTGTTTGTGCTACAAAGAAGGGCAAATCATTGGAATGTATGGATTCCAAAGTGTAGAAAATTGCCACTTGCAAGGAATCCGAAGATATACCAAGTGAGTTTTCGTGGTGTAGAATCAAGTCCATCATATAACCCTGGCTCACGTTACCTGCCAGTAAATTATCCACTAGCACAAGATCCAAGTGCCGTACATCCAAAGCTCGAATCTCTTCGTCTATCTGTATCTGAGCTGCTGGTATCAAATCAGGGAGAATAAAATGCTCATTATTGAATCTAACTGCAATGGGTACGACAGCTTTAAACTCGCAATCGACATAGTGCTGTAGTTTGCTCAACCCATTCGAGGGTTTGTAGATATTGGGGATCCACGGTAATAGTACTGCTATTATTGTACATATGGCTATGACTTTGTGACCGACTGGCATGTCCTTCCCTTCTTGCAAAGTGAATGTAGAGGAGGTGGGTTGTACATATATATTTATACAGTATATACACATATCGCGAACAACCTGAAAAAAGCGAAAAGTCAAAATTTTGAGAGATGATTTTTTTGCGCAAGATTTACTGTGAACTCATATATATATATATATATACCAAGCTGTCATCAAAGGATAATGGCCACAACCCCATCTCTACCTGTATCACAAGATATTAATCCGTCAGAACAGGAAAACACATATGTCCATGACGTATACAATGAAATAGCGTCTCATTTCTCCAAAACTAGATACAAACCATGGCCGATAGTGGAGAGGTTTTTAACTGGAAGGCCAAAATATTCCGTTGGGTTGGATGTTGGGTGCGGGAATGGCAAGTATTTGAATGTGAATCAAGACTTATTTATCATCGGTTCAGATAGGTCTCTGGGTCTTATCAATTGTGCGCAAGAAGTCTCCAACAATCAGTATAATTTGGCTATTGCTGACGGTCTCTCATTGCCACATCCAAATGATGAGTTCGACTTTGCTATTTCTATTGCAGTTATCCACCACTTTGCCACTGAGGAGAGAAGGATTCAGGCCATACTGCATATCTTGTCCAAACTAAAGAAGGGTGCACAATGTTTAATATATTGCTGGGCACTTGAGCAAGAAAATTCACGTCGCGGTTACAGGGAGGGCGATGATCAGGATGTGCTCATTCCTTGGGTGCTTCACAACGTATCCAAGCACTCCAAAAAGAAGAACTCAGCCGGGGACAACAGCACTTGCGCGGGTGACGCTACTCGCGAAAAGGCACAACCTAACGAGACCAAGTATAGATACTATCATTTATATAAACGTGGAGAATTGTCGGAGAACGCACTTGCTACTGGATTGTGTACGGTAGCTGACGAAGGGTATGAGAAGGATAATTGGTGGGTAATACTACAAAGAATATAGACCCGATCTCTAAAACGAACCAACTATGAAAAATAAACAAACAAACAAACAAACGAAAAAAAAAGAAAACAAGCAAACAAAAATGGCATAATATTGTAGAGTCCTTCCTTGAGCTTCTGTTTAGCCCAGCACCTCCCTTACTTTCCCCCCCTCCCCCGCTGACGAGAGTCACCAACATGAATTCGCCACATGACAGACGCGATAAACTTATTAGAGCTACCGATCTAGATGCATTGAGTTGCCGCTACAACATGGACATCAAACGGTATCTCGATCCACCTGATGAATACATAGAGGATTTGATGAAATCATACAATTCCTATTTACAATTCTGTACAGGCTATACGTCGCTTTCATCTTCAAGAAGTTTGAAATCTTTATTTCAAGAAAGGAAGTTACCAATTATAAACCGTGGTACGTACTTGAGAACTAAGGCGATTACTGACGTTGTGGAAGAGTTTATACGCGAGTTTGAAAACTGTCAAATTATTTCATTAGGAAGTGGTTCCGACACTAGAGCGTTTTCTATCTTGGAAAAGCTGCCGCACGTTGTCTATCACGAGATTGATTTTGCTGACACTGCAAAGATAAAAAAGTTGGGCATAATGAAGAACAACAAACTCCGGCAACTTTTCGGTATCGATGAAAACGTCCCTGAAATTGAATCAAGGGAAGCATTTGACGCATTTGATCCTGATTTACATTACAAAAATTACCATCTTCACGGAGCCGATTTGAGAGAAGCACACGCTTATTCAGAGTGGAAGGGACTCAATTTCGATCTTCCAACCATAGTTTTGAGCGAGTGTGTTTTATGCTATTTGTCACCAGAGGAGTACTCTTCAACAATTAAGTACTGGACCAACTTGGGAAACAATCTAACGGGGATTCTAATATATGAGCCTATGTCTTTGAGAGACCTGTTTGGCCAGACAATGTACCAGAATTTACAAGGTAGAGGTTTAAACTTGCAAACATTCGACAAGTACCCAAATCTTGAATCAAGATTGGAGTTTTTGAAACAAGAATGCAACCTTTCAAGATTGCGCATGACCACTTTGAGCAGTGTCGGTGGGTACAGTAAAACACAAAACACAGAAGATAAGTCATGGATCGGTGCAGAGGACTTGCGGCGAATCAATTCGCTAGAGTTTGTTGACGAGATTGAAGAAATAAGACTATTGCTTGAGCACTATTGTCTTTGTTATGGCGAATTCAGAGGGTCAAAAAGGGCTTCATCCTTCAAAGGAATTGATCAATGGCCATGGCATGTAAAAAGTATATAGGAAGATACAAAATCCATCTAGTTATCTTTATACTTTTTAAGGTTATCCCATCCAATGGAGTTGGCATTTGGTAGTTTCACCACCTCAACTCTTGTTAAATACTCTTCATTTGCACTGGACGGAAATGTTGCGACATACTTTATTGGGTTCTTGATGGAAGGTATCTCGTCTTTATTTAAATCCGCAGCGTCCCTCAACTCCATAGGCAACTGCCTCAATATTTCTGGATGACTAGCGGGAGAAACAAACTTTGAAACTATATCCACCTGGGGTGTTTCGATAGGTTGTGGAGGCTTTAAAGGTGTGAGAAACTGCTTCTTTTTCAACTCATACTCCCTCGATAATTCAAGCTGCCTCAGTCTAAAATCTGATTCAAGCTCTTCAAGCTTTTCGGCAAAATTTCCTTCCTCGTCACCTGCATCTATCGAATTTCCAAATGAAGCTTCCAATTCCCAGCGGCGCTTCTTTTCCTCCAACTGTTTTCTTAGTTCAACAAACTCTAGCTTGAGTTTCTCCATTGCTGTGTGTTCGTCACTAAAAATCATACGAAGCCTCTCTTCGCGTAGCTTGTCATCCTCTACCCATTTCTTATGCTCTTGCAAAAACCGCTCTCTCTCCTTCAATTCATCTTTTTCCAGTTGCAAAGCCCTAAATTGCTCAAAGTCAAGTAATTTGAATTTAAAATAACTGTTCCAAGTGTCTTCCGATATTTCACGGTAGGAGTTGAGTAAAAAATTGAATTGAACACTATTGTGTAACATTTCAAGATTTAAATAGTCTTCGGTATACTTGCGCTGCTCGGCAAGCAAACTTTCCACTGACTTCCTGTTGAACTTCTCATGCACCAATCCCTTCAAGGATTTGTTGTGTTTCTCTCTATTTGAAAGTTTTGTCTTGTGAACCCTTGTGCGATCGTTCGTCATCGGTATCTTGCTGATCTTCTTCATTAGTGCACCATCCTTATAGTTACCTGACCCAGGACCCCGGTACCCTTTTGTGTAAAAGTATTTCGAGTGATGGTAGTTATCAGTCTCGTTGTTGAAAACAAGTTGCTGTATGTTTTTTGACATTTTTATCCCATCATTGAATAGAAAAGATGAATTAGAAGTGGTGTTCAATTTTTTAGTGTTGAAGGATTGCAGTGGCGCCTGTTGATTCGAAGTGATATAATAGTTGGGCACTTTGCACAAATGACTTACGCTGAACTCAGGAATATAGCCTTGTCCTGGTGCAACAGATTCACTCAAATCCAAAGTATTTGGATCAATGTGAATATTGTTTTTCCTCGATCTGCCCAAAGGCTTCCGGAAACCTTGTTTCTTTATTGATTCAGACCCCTCCTCGATTTCGATATCCAGAAAATTGTTCGACCCTAGAAGCAACTCTCTCTCATTAAAGTTGAGCTTGGTGTTTGGAAGGAATCTAAGGCCAGGTGTCAGCAAAGTTTTGTAAAAGTTCAACTTTGTAGAGGAGTTCAAAGTCCCAAACAGGGTATGATTCAACTGAGTAGTGGATTCAACGACACCATATTGAGGGAATACTTGGCTCACAGTCACTTTGTCATCCCCGGGAGTTTCAGCGTCATGTGTGCGTTTATGGAAGTGATGGCGCTTCGCTTGTTTCAGAAAGGTTGTCTCCTTGCTTTCTTCTTCAAGGTCTCCCCCCTGTTCAATATCGTCCACTTCGTCCTCCTCTTCATCATCTATAAGTGGTTCATCCTCCTTCTCTTCCTCGGTCACAGATAGATTGCTGCTGGATTTAGGTGGCTGCTGGATTCCCTTTTCCAAACCATCTTCAACGTCATAATTGTTGTAAAACACATTTTTGTTTGAAATTTTGCAATAAATTAAAGGCAATGATACGTAGAATAACTTGGTTGATTTGTCATTATTGGTGATAGCCCCCAGTGCAAACAAATCGTCATTCATTTCCGAACTAGTTTGAAGAATGTCCTCTTTTTTAATGCCGTGCTTTGAAAGTGCTAGAACCAAGTGGTAGGAGGATAAATAATTCCACAACATAGCCAATTGCTTCACCAAAATGTAATCCTGGCCATTGTACAGGAAGGAAGGTACTGCAAGGTTTTCTTTGAGGGATTCCAAATCCGTGTTTGAAATAGCATTTGTAGAAACTTCATCATTTATAAATTCGAGCGAAACCCTCTGTGTGCCTTGTGCCCGTTTTGTTGGTTCTTGTTTGGGTAGTGTTACTGATAAAGTCATACTTGAAATCAGAAATGCAAACAAATAAAGTGCCACCGAGATGAATTAAATGAATTAAAAACTTGTGGACTATCAACAAGGCCGGTTGCTTCAGTGGTTGACTGGGTTGAAAGTAGCTCTCACTCAAGATGTCTTGAGTGGTTTTGTTTTGTCTTGTCGTTAACCGAAAATGTTTATGAGTCGTGTGCGAAACAATTGCAGCTGGTTGTATTTGCCAATAGGCTACATTATTGTAGGCAGTTACATACTGGCGAGTTCTGTCTGAGAAGAGTTTGGTGACGCATCTAAAGGTAGTGAGAGGTTTACAGGGAATTACGAAGTTAAGCTCGTTGTGCAAAATTTCGCATAAATTTCAATGCAAATGTGCAAGTATAATAAGTACACAGGTGATGATTTACAAAGTTAATGTTGTTAGTCGACTCCGCAACGAGTGAGCACTGATCCCACAAAGCTACGTCGCTTGATATTAGATTATGACTATTGGATTCAGAAGCATCCTCTGATGTTATCTTGTGAGGGCTACTTCTTTGGGTTCTGTATTTTCCATACTTGGGTATCTAATTGTACTCTGTCCAAATCTCTCTGCTTATCAGATTTCCATCCACGACCGAGGTATTGTACTTGTATAACCCATGAAGGCTCAAAAAAGCGACACATGAAAATGAAGTAGTTTCAATTCACCACAAATAAAACGCAATAACAAAAGTTGACTGCATTAGCAAACGTAGAAACTCTCTCTCTCTCTCTCTCTCTCTTATACAAAGCTAGAGTGGTTCCTGGTTCAGTTAAGTTTCTCAATGAACTTTCGAAACAACTCTGACTCTCTTTGAAACTTTTGCTCCACCAACTTTTCAACAGCCTCCTTACCTTCAGAACACTCTAGCTTTTTTCTTAATTCCGGTAAGATATTAAGCATAATCTCATCTTCGTAATCGTTGACTAATTGGAGTAATTCCGTGTTCACTGCGACTTTAGACGCATAAAGTTCTTTCATGTGGCTAATTTGATCACGTAAGTTCTGCAATCTGCCCTCTTTGGATTCGTCATCTGAGTGCGGTAGTTGATATTTCTGTTCAATGAGGTAAAACAACCCATCACCACCAGCTGTTTCATTTGCAGACTCGTCTAACTGGGAAACAGATGCAGGGAGTTTAAAATCATCATCCACGATCAGACATAATTCGGAAAGGATTCTTTCGTTATTTTCTATCTCTGAGCTTAGTTGGTTGACCGTAGTGGTTAATGGATCTATGTTTTCTGTCCTAAGTAGATTCTGATACGGCATCCTGCAAATCATATATAAATTGTTGAGTTGCACATAAAGAAAGCTATGGTGTATCCCACTCTCGCGCGTATCGCGAGCCAGTTTGTGTGAACAAATTAAGCAAAATTTTGTTCTGAAGAAAGGAGACGACATTTGCAAATGCAATCCACGTTGAATCTACGGGTACTACAGAAAGTGAAATAAAAAAGAAAAGCGATGTACATCACACAAGCTGAGTAAAGTATATATATGTGTACTAAATAACCAGCTTTGTTCATCTGGAATTGATTCGTTGTAAGCTTTGCGCTGTCTTCCTCTCTTGTTTTCCTTTCTTCATCACTTGCTTCAAAGCTACGCTGTCCAACGGATCCAACAATTCAAAAGAGCACAAAAGTTCCTCCGAGACGCTCATTACTGCGCCCCAATTGTCAAACTCTCCACAATAATTGGGAGCAGAAAACACCGTAACCAACGTTCGATCGTTGAAAAATTCATAGCCATCCTCAACAACCATATGGGCTCGACAAACCAAGTCAAACCCAAACTTGCTCAAAAACTTGTTTATAGCAACTTTAGAAAACACATAAGAGACACCTCTCTCATTGTCTTCCCACTCATTGATTGTATCTGCAGGGTCTGACCATAGGAGATCGTTAAGCAATCCAAAATCGGGCACGTCTGTCGGACGGGCAATGTTTCTTATTTCATCCATTGAGTTTAGAACCGGTGACAAGCCGCCATGGACACAGAATATCTTGCCAGCAACAATCGCTGCAATCGGTAGAGTGTTGAACGTGTCCATAAACATCTTCCATGTTTTGATATTGCATCTCCGTTTACACTCGTCGTAAAACCCATATACTCTGGTCACACTGGCACATTCATGATTTCCTCGCAACAAAAAGAAATTCTCTGGGTACTTGATCTTGTAGCATAACAATAACAAAATGGTTTCTAAACTTTGTTTTCCTCTATCGACATAATCTCCAAGGAAAAGGTAGTTTGTTTGTGGGGGGAATCCACATTTCGTAAAAATACGAATCAAATCCCCATATTGGCCATGTACGTCACCCACTACCTTAACAGGCGGAGAAAGTTCAAGTAGTGATGGTTGCGACAAGAAAATTTCTCTTGCTGTAGCACAGATCAATTGAATCTCGGTGTTTTTTAAGCAAACATTCTTTGTTCTTTTCCCACTATACCCGGCATCCAAAAGCCGCTGTATCAAGTCTTCAATTTCTATTGTGTTGCTCCCACCACCTATTGAGGAAGAAGTTGTCGATTGCTTGTGTAGGTGATTGTTAATAGAAGATTGCGTTTTTGCAAGGTCCGTTAAATCCGTGGCCAGTGACTGCCTGCTACTCTGTATACTTCTGGTGTCATCGTTGTTTGCAGAGAGTGAGGGAGACTTGGGTGGGTGGAGACCGTCTTCTTGTTGCCCATCCAGTTGTGGGGAGTCACCAGATTGCAGATTAGGAATGGGCAAGTGTGTATCTTGGGGAGATGTTGATACATTGTTCAAAGATGACGGTAAAGAATGGTTTGTTGACGTACGTGATATGCTTGCCCCATTGTTGCTAATGCCAAAGTTTGATTGTGACGGCGAATCGAGCCCTGACACGCTCATGGAAGTGTTTAAGGTGTCATTGGTATTTCTTCGAATTAAAATTGGTTCTTTCGGTTGAACTTGCATCATCGATGGGGGCAAGTTGGAATTGTCAGTAAACGAAGTGGAATACAAGTTGGAAGAACTGTTGTTTCTTGAAAACGAAGGCACTTCTGAGTTTACTTCTGATGATGAGTTTTTTCGTGACATTGGCTTCAAAGGCGACTTTAAGCCACTTTGTTGCTCGCTGGCGCTAGCTCCACTCGTTATATTTTCATCAAACCGATTTTTTGTAGGCGAAGTGACGGCAATATCGGGACCACTGGTAGTGCCCTGATTACCGCTCGTATGGTTGCCCATAGATTCACTTCCACGATTGTTGCTGTTGCTGTTGCTGTTGCTGTTGCTGTTACCGTTATTGCTGGCACTGTTTGTACTTCCAACAGACAATCTCAGTCTCACCGATCTACCTGATTTGGCTGAGTTTGAGGTATCTGTGCGCTGCAAGGGTGCACCCCCGGAGTATTTAGAACTCTTCTGTTTGGATGAATTGTTACCCATTACGTATATATAAGGTGGTGAAAGGGCCCTGGTGCTAAGATTCGTGAGGATGTAAACTTTGATTACCTTGGTCTTCTCTCTTTAAAGAAAGCAGCAGGTTTATGTAATTGGTGGTAAAGCCGAGATAAAACGATGTAGATGATAGGACTGATTTGATGTGCAGTCAGTAGTTCCTTTACTCTTGGTGTTGATGATGATGATGGGCACTCGGAAGAATAGGAGGAGCAATAGTAAAACGAGTGAGAATAAAATGAATTCTAGTCTCGTTTTTGATGGGAAAAGAAGAAAACGAAGACGAAGACGAAGAAGACAGAGAGAACAACAACATCTGTACAGAAGATTACTTACATAGACACTTTCTAAACTTCAACTATACAGCGGTGTTGTTATCAAATGAATCTGCTTCACTGTATGTGTGTATGTGATTGACTATTGCGCGTTAAAGTGTGTTCTATTGGATGGTGTAGTCCAGTGTATCCAATAATTATATGCAGTACACTATGGTACAACTTGATTTGGACTCCTTTCATGTTTCAAAGGAAAGACACTTCACTAGCTCTACAACACCAGCATTTAACTACACTAATGGTTGGATCGAATGTATTGAATTTGGCAGAAACACACATACACTATAATACACACTATAATACACCTTATAATACACACTGTAATATATATAACATATCTTCAAAGGCGGTGCGTCTGGGTCTGTGTTTGTGTTTGTGTTTGTGTCTGTGTCTACTTGCAAAAATAATAATTCTTTTTGTAGCCTTCTTTTTCTTGGCCTTATATCTCCCATATTGCACCCTTTCCTCTACCCAATTACACGAAAGAGTTTCTCTCAGTTTATCCCTTTACTGCTTAGTTTCATCTACAAATTTAACAAAAAACTCCAAAATCATTTCATTGGATTGAGATATTTTCATCCATTACAAATCTAACCAACTGTTGCGTCGTTCAAGACTCTCATACATTGCCAAATACCTCTCCACCACAGACCCCTCTTCTTTTTTTTTTCCCGGGCCATCTATGTACCCAAAATCTCATCTCTAAAATGCTTTTGATAGTTTGCCTTTTTGGTTTTGAGCTTTCTAATATCCACATTCTTTGCTTCTTGTTCCGCTTTTTGTGCTTGCTTCTCTTGCTTGGTTACTTGACTCCAAGTAACACCGGGCGAGAGCCTCCTATCAACCACCGCTTGTGTTCGTCTGCCTTCATCTCTGACAGTCAAGGCTAATGGAAAGTTCTGACGGTAATACCTTTGCATCGATCTGTGTCCGATTCTTGAACCAACCGGTGTAGTCATCTCCACCCCTGTAGAATCGATATTTACCAACGTGTAGTTGTCATAGATTCCTGTAGTACCTGGTTCAAAACCGTTCTCATCCGTCTCTGTGGGTCCGTTGGTGGTGTCTGAAGTACTATCAAGCGACTCTTCAAACCCAACGTGTTTCTCGGAAGAACTAGAACGGTCTCCTGTTTCGCTTCGCCTTTCCTCTATGAAATCATAGTACTGCGCCACCCGCTTCTTCTCCTCCTTCGTTTCATACGGTAGCTTACAGTGTCCTTTTGAATATAAGTGTTGACGGATGCTGACCAAACTTCTGCCATGGAAGCCACAAACCAAACACTCATGCCTAGAAACAGCATCACCCAAATACTCTAATAAACCTCTCACATCAACCAAAAACGATCTTTCTGGTATATACAACCCATGGTGTTTGTACATATGCTTTATATTTGGTTCGACCTCCTCATTATTTGCTCCACAATAAAAGCAACAAGTATCTGACGTTTCCTGCACGAGATCAGCTTCCAGAAACTCCGAATCTGACTCTTGTTCAGATTCTGATCCTTCCAATTCACTTTCTGAATCTGTGAGGTCTGACGATTCAGTAAAGTTTAATTCAGACCCCGTGGACACCGGCTCAATTTCAACAAAACTCTCGTGATCGTCACCTAATGAAAACTGTGAAAACTCCGACGCAACAGATAAAGCAGGACTACTGCTTCTTGCTGGAGTCAATGTACCATCATCAAAAGCACTTTGCGCTCTTCTGCCTCTTTGATCAAACATTGACTTCAAGGTGGTCTTGCTCTGCTTCCTTGTATTGTTCTTCTTCTTCCGCGTCGCGACATAAAACCCATACTCGTCCTCATGATCCCGCTCTTCATCATGATTTCGATACTTGGAGCTAAGTATCTTTTCTGCAAATGTCTCGGAGCTGATTGGTGGCAACAGAGCAACTTTTCTTTTCAAGTTGTACCTATGCCATTCCGTTTTCATATGTTGTCTTTGCAACTCTGCACTAATGAATTTGATACCACATGTATTGCATGTGAAAGAGCACGTTTCTGGATTCGAGCCGTTGGGCAAGTAACTCATGATAGGATAATGTAGTGAAGAGAAGAAGAAGAGAGAGTTAAATGAAGTCAAAGGAGAACAAAATTTTGATCGCTCCCCAGCAGCAACTTTTAGAATTCATTCAAACAGATACCTCGCTCTTTTAGCACAACACCTTTACAACCTTCCATCAAGTGGCTCATGTAAGATGAGGATTATAGGTCTAGGTCTAAGGTATTATTAACACTCGTGGCGACTTTCTCGTTAATGGACACTTCTGTTCATTTAATAGAAACAGGTTGCTCACAACTACTCGAATGGTAGCTCTCATGGGATGTTTTTTTCCAATTTCAAACACATTTCTCGTCAAATTTTCACCGCAACACACCCAATTTCAGCTTCGACCTCAACTAACACTTAACGTTTTCCATCAATGGGAGTGGTTGTATTCGGTAAATCCATAAAGCACAATTTCCCCGTGCGTATAGGTCTCGCCAAAACGATATTTGGAATAGGACCCACCACAGCCGCCAAGTTAATGGCCAAGATTGGAATCTATCCAAACTGTAAAATGAACCAACTTACAGAACCACAAATATTGGACCTCAATAAAGAAATATCGCTGTTGTTGGTGGAAGGTCACTTGAAACAGAAAATTAACAACGACATCAAATTGAAGAGAGATATTGGATCATTTGCTGGTTTCAGACACGCTTGGGGATTCCCTGTTAGAGGCCAAAGAACAAAAACTAATGCCAACACTGCAAAGAGGTTGAATAAACTCGAGAGGTTTAGGCTTTAGTGTTACCGGGGTATACTGAAGTAAAATTCTGCCTCCTGTAAATAGCTTGTATTGAATGAATGAAAAATTGTTATGGATGGAAATTGTCAAATTATTGTTAATGTAGCCCAAGTTGGTGCCCAATTTAATGGATCAATGTCTTCTACAAAGCCAACATCAGATGCAAATGTACGCCTCTGTGATGAAAGAGAAAGATGTCCATACATTGGCTTACAAAGAGATGTTGGACTACGGTACAACTTTTGCATATTCTTGTACCATGTTAAAGATGCAATGTTTCGAATTCTATAGCTCCACAGAGTGCCACTTTAACCCATTTGGGTTTATTGTTGCACTCATATACTATAAACTCCCTTCGCAAATTGACCGGTTGCACAAGACCCGACTCACCGTACTCGTAAATACTTGGCCTCTGAGCAAGAACAAACCGGCATTCAGGCGGTATGAGATGTTTGTGCTCTTTCCAGTTTGTGATGAACAAGGAACATCTATAGAGTTGATAACAAACAACAAAGAGATCTTGGATACACACGAATATACCGAAATTTACATTAAAGTAGTAGATGCTGAGCATCAGAGACTTTAACTTGTACAGCCTTTTCCCTCCC